CCAGGCCAGTGTTTTGCTTTCTTCAGTCAGGTCTTCAAAAGACTCTTCACCTGGAGAGGCTACATCAAATTGTAGCTAAGTGAGTCAACTAAATTACTAACAGACAACAGTATCAGATTCACAATATTTTCTATTAAAATCAAACCACCAAGAAAACAAAACACCCTAACACAACTGCTTTGAAATGTATTAGATAGCTTCATGTTTGAAAAAAAAATCGTGTAGAGAAAGATTTTTTAAAAGTATCTTTGAATACTATAGTCTTTTTACCAGTGTTTGCAAAGTTTTCACTTGGCCACTAACTTCTGAATTACAGGAAATACAAGACTGAGTAACCACTTCCTTGTCAGCAATCATTGCAAAACCTGAATGTCACAGTTTTGTTTTGGTTTTGAGGTGGAGAAAGCAAAGAAGAAATCAGCTACGCCAAGTGCTTCTGGACAGGACTAATCCCTTCACTTCCACTTTAAGAAGGGCTGGAACAATTACCCTTTTACAACAATCACATGATTGTGGTTAAGGCCTGTGACTAAGCAGAGCACTGGTTGAAATGGCATCATAAGATCAACCTGTGATCTCTATGACTTAGCCCTCTGGAGTGTTATCTCTTAAAGAAATACTGCAAGCTACCGCTGGGTCACATGGCTCCAGTAAGCTACTCCTCCATGACTGGCAGAGTGCTCAGCTGTGCGTGCCTATGAAACCTAGATGTGCTTGGAACAGATAGTAGAATGGGAGATAAAAAGAAATTAAGTTATTTTGCTCTCCACGTTCCATACAGTGTCACACTCCTTCTGGGAGCATGTAGGATTGAGGCTGTGTCATGGGAAGTGTAAACCGTGGATAAGCAGAAGGTGAGAGTTCTTTCCTTCCTTTCCAAACACTAGATGCAAGAACTGGATCAAGTTCATTTTAGCTCCTAGCATATGGCTGGCATAGAACAGATGCTCTATAAACGTTTGTCAAATGTTAAATAAGAAAATAGAACCAAATAAAGAAAACAGGGCACTTTAATTCAAGATCTGTATGTGGGTATGGAAGAGAATTCAGGATGGAGGCAGTCACTTCTGGGAAAGAGGGTGACTGGT